CATTTGACTATTTACTCAAATTTCTTTCTAACACTTTGGTTATGCAATCTGTAGGTTACAAGCAATGAGACCAGCATTGTTGCACGATGTAGGAGAACATATGCCCATGCGCATGACTACCATATCAATTCTATTTCAACTAACAGGCATGGATATCCATATTTTATGTAAATTATAATGACAACCAATTTTTTAATGTATTTTGAGTTTTTTGTTGCACATTTCTCTTACTGTGAGTATTGGGTGCCACACTATCTCCCTGACGCACCATTGCCAATTCAATTCCTTCTGACCTTTTGGCCTCAAGCTGGAGGATGAGAAGCAAGGATAATTGTTCAATTTTTGTGAAAATTTATATAAACTGAAAGCTTATTTCTTGGATCAATGATGGATGGATTGGTTCATTCGTATGAAACCTGGAGAGTGTAGTGAGGGAAGAAAATAAAAATTTATTTTTCCCTAGTATTTTTCACGTGCGGATGAGAAGACAATGATACAGCATAAATTCATTGATTTCATCGTCATGCAGAGTATTCTTTGCTTTCTTTCGTGTCATTTTGAGAAAGTCAAAAGTTGATTATGCTGGGGAATATGAATCACTGGCTTTAGCTGTTTCTTGGCGAATCCTTTTGAAAAATATATAAATAAATGCTTTTTTTTTTATAACCCACTTGATTTATCTCTGCAAACATTTTGAATAGTATTCCAAATAATATTTTTCTAATTAAACATTAGTGACTAGAGGCCTTTGTTAGTCTATTTATTCTACTCAATGAAGCCTTAACCGCTGTAGGTGCATACATTTGTATCGTGAGTATTTTTAATCCCTTACACAAATAATGTGATGTATGCTATTGACACATTATAAATAATATTTTTATAAGCTCTTCGTGGGAACTGTAATTTGTTCTTTCATTTGGTAATGTGGTTTGTTGAAATCCACCAATTAATATCTATCTTCAATTCTTTTTAGTGATGGTGAAACATTTATATCTGCTGATGATCTGCGAATAAATCTTTGGAACTTGGAAGTAAGCAATCAAAGTTTCAACATCATTGATGTGAAGCCAGCAAATATGGAAGATTTAACTGGTAAGTTCCTTTATTGTGCAACTTCCATGAATAGGAATAAGATTTTCTAAATTCCTTTTCTTTAATGGTGGATTATAATGTTTCTTCTCGAGTGACAAGTGCACTAGGAAATGGCTACATGATTACGTCACCACTTCTGACTGTCATAGCTGTTTGCTGTTGTTCTTCATGTGATCTATCATCACTGGTGAAACAACAAAGTCATATTATATACATGAAATTCATTATTTTAGTAAATTTGAAGAGCATTGCAAATAGTTTGGCTGATTATCATGTTGCAGAACCCCAATTGACTTTCTTTTGATGACGACTTGTTTCTTGCTTTAGAGGTGATAACATCAGCAGAGTTTCATCCTACTCACTGTAACATGTTAGCATATAGTAGTTCAAAAGGATCAGTTCGTCTCGTTGATTTGCGCCAATCAGCCTTATGTGATTCACATTCTAAACTGTAAGTGCGTGAGTTAGAATTTTTATTTTCTTTTCTTGATGAAATCACTTCTGTCAAACTTGTTTTGTCTGCTTCACATCTAAACACTCAAATAACTTTCCCTAGTAGAAGGTTGGCCAGTTATGAACATTCCATGTTGTTTCTTGTTTTTGGTTCAATTACTTTTTTTTATGGATGAGACATTGATATTTTTTTTATATACAGCTTTGAGGAACAGGAGGCACCTGGTTCAAGGTCATTTTTCACTGAAATAATAGCTTCAATTTCTGATATTAAGTTTGCAAGGGATGGAAGATATATACTGAGTCGTGATTACATGACCCTCAAGGTTCTACCTTCTGTTGTTATTTCCTACCTCTGAGCTTTAAATTCTTTTAATGCTGCAATTGGTAACAATGCTTATACTTAATTGTTGAAATACATTTTGCTCTGTAGCAGCAGCATTGAGATGTTAAAATTAAGTATATTGTTCTAGACTACTAATACAAAAAACAGAAAATTTGTCAAAAAAAGTGAAACCGAGTGATGGAAGTTAGTTGCCGGTTGGTGAAGCACTAAGTTTCAGTTAGAAGTTGCAAACAAAGGGAGAGCTTGAAGTTTGGCATTTGAGATGGAAAAGATCCTAGCATCTCACCTATTAGAAAGTATTTTGCTAATTGACCTCACAATGGTTTCTATCTTCAAAACCTGGGCTGAAGATGAATATTTAGTGCAGTCCTGTGGAGCTATTATATAATAATTTGGATTTCAATTTTATATATGGTGACGAGTTTGGTCTGTTACTAATCCATCTTATTTGGTGTCAGTTGTGGGATATTAATATGGATTCTGGACCTGTGTCGACCTTCCAGGTTCATGAATATTTAAGACCAAAGGTGAGTTTCCTTGTTCCAAGAAAGCTCTTAAAATGGTCTTTCTGTTAATGTTGTTGTATTGATCTGATTAGATTGTAATTTGATAATGTCCAGCTGTGTGATTTGTATGAAAATGATTCCATTTTTGATAAATTTGAATGTTGCCTGAGTGGTGATGGTCTTCGAGTAGCGACTGGTTCTTACAGGTATACTAAAGATCTCCTAGAGTTTTAGCACCATTACTGATATTTCTCTGGCTTTTTGAACTAAAGAGAAACTTATTTATGATTTCAGCAATCTTTTCCGCGTATTTGGATGTGCAGCAAGCAGTACTGAAGCAACTACTCTGGAAGCTAGCAAAAATCCAATGAGGTACTGCAACCCAATTAATTTAGACATGTTGGTCTAATGTTGATTTGTTTTTGTATTATTGTGTTTTGTGTGTGGAAAGCGAACATATTGATTGCCTTCGCAGAAGACAAGTCCAGACCCCTCCAAGGACAACTTCCAGATCCTTGAGCAGTAGTATTTCTCGTGTTGTGAAGCGAGGTATTATTTGTCTTGTTCCACATTTTTCGTTTTTGGTACACATTCTAGTACAAGTTTCTTTCGTGCATGCTTGGTAGGGAGGATTGGATAGTACTCTGTATCAAACATGCACTTCCAGTTTTTTTCTTTTTCTCTACTCCAAGAGTATTGGGACATCTCTTGCAGGTTCTGAAAGCCCAGGTGTTGATGCCAATGGGAATTCATTTGATTTCACTACCAAGCTACTCCACTTGGCATGGCACCCAACTGAAAACTCAGTTGCCTGTGCTGCTGCAAATAGCTTGTACATGTATTATGCATAAGAGGTCATTACTGGAGCTAGATCACAATTTTTGGTTGCCATTCAAGAATGCCTCTATCCTCAGCAAACCGAGGCTCAACTATTTCACAGTCAAGTGTCTCATAAATCTGTAGAAATTGCAGTCATGGTATTCACAACAGAGCTACCTGTTGATGCTTCCTTCCGTCCCTTCTTTGCTATCTCTGCTTCCCCTTAAATTTCTTTTATTTTTTACGTCTCCCCTTGAAAGGGGAGATGTGGTTCTGTTCTTACATGTTGGGTTGAAGTCAGGAAAGAATGTGATTGTAGCTCTCCTACAAACAAGAACTATAGGATGTCCTATTTTATCCTAGTTTTAAGGTAAATGTAGTTTTACTTGAAACCTTCCCGCAAAGGGGCTACTGCTAAACTTGCAGGGCGTTAAGTTTTATTCCGTTTTTCTTTGGTAGCGTAGTACTTATTCTCATTGTACAATACCTGCTTTTAATATAGGTTGCTGTTAATTGTTTATTTTCGTTAACCTAATTTATGCTTCGGCTTGTGTTGATGTCTAACATGAATGTACAACATAGATTTCAGACGCTGTTCATGGTATTTCAATATTCATCTCCAAGTGAGCTGAGTTGCGTCGTCCTGTTAACTTAATACATAATTTAATGTGCCGTTTAGATAACCGTTTCAACCCTTGCCAATGCAGTATGGATGGTTGAAGAAAAATCTGACAAGCTTTGTTTAGTAAGATTAAGAAACTGACGGGCACCATCAGAGGGTAGGATCAGACATTGGATCACCGTCTGAAAAAGAGAGTTGTTGACCAGGTGGAATTGGGGTTGGAGCAGGCCTAAGATCAAGCATCCTTGTCCCGAGTAAATAAGATATGTACTTGGACTCTCAAGGAAACAGATTTTCAAGTTGCTTCCAAAGCAAGAAAATAATTTACCCCAAATCTTTAAGAGCAAAATTGTTGTGAATGTCATCTCCTTTTATAGGGCTCTTTGGAGATACCGATTCGAAGTGACATGGACAAGGAGGATAATGGGGTGGCCATGAGCATGATAACAAATCATAGAAGTGCCTCTCGAAGAGAATTGAAACCAAGCACGTGGTGCGGTTTGAAGTTTTATATTAAAATGTCAACTTTGTTAAGAGCCTTAGAGTAGCGGCACAAAATCTTATAAATATGTCTATATTTTTTTCTTTATTTGATCATTTATAAATTGATCTATATTTTTATCTTTATTTCATGTGGGATTTATTCTTTAACATGCCCCACAAGATACTAGTAAATTTAACTACAGAGCTTAATGTACCGTATAATCAATTCCTGGAATTGGTGAAATCCTTTTGTGACAAGTCAGGCTTTAAACCGATGTAGAGATCTATCAAATTTTTGCTCGACCCGATAACGCCACTTGCAACCGACTATATTAGCACTAGGAGGGAGAGTTACCAGACATTATGTTTGATTGCGGAACAAGGCAGCATACTCATCATTCATGGCAGTTGGCCGAGGTCGTTCAGATAAATTTGAAGCTTCAGAGAAAAATGTGGGGTCAGGAGGAAGAAGCTATGGATGCCTGATTTTGATTGTTTTTGCATTTGGTGGTGTCAGATGAGTGAGTACGGGGAATGACAGATTCTTGAGATGGTAATGTCGTTCTGGGCTGTGGGAAGGATCGAATTGGTGCGGATCAGTAACAGGGGACATGGGTGTGAAAATGGACGAGCCTAAGTTGGGTAATGATGAGGGCTCAGATTATAGGTTGGTTGATACATAAGTAGGGCTAAAAGAAGAGGTATGGACGGACAGCAATGGAGAACAGATTTGAAAGTTGGATGATGCTACAGCTATCCATAACGATATCTACCCTCCTCACATGGAGGGGGGCCCACTTCGAATAAAACATAATTTATTCAAATTGGGCTCCCTCTATGTGAGTGGGGTGGACACTTTTATAGATATCACATTATCCATGTGAGTGGGGTGGACACTCGAAGGTTCGACAACCAAGAAGAAAGAGACAGAGGCAGAGAAATGGGGGGTTGAGTTGGTGATTGTAGTGTCGTGTGGTGGAAAAAAGATGGAGCTAGCACTTAGTGAACCCCTATGACTATTTGTGCTGGCTGTGCCAAATTCTTTTTTCTTATATTGGGCGGCCGTTTGTGCTCATCTGGATCATCTCGTGCTCACTTGAATTCTTAGATCCGTCACTAGACAAAATAATGGATATCGTGCATAGCCTAAGATGTTAAAAGGGCGTTGTAATATGAGTTTCTTGGAATAGTATTTTCAACGGTGTTTTATGATGAAAGAACATGTGTAGATGATTAATAGTGTAAGTGGCATATTAAGAATACCAAAATTTAAGAGGAGAGAAACATGTGCAAGATATGGTGATGTTCTCTTCCAGCATGGTCATTTTGTTAATGAGTGTAACTACAAGAGAATTGTTGGTGAAAATCGTGGGTTTCGAAATATCTTTTAAAAGATTTGGAAGAGTTGTCACCCCCTTCATCGGCTTGCGAGATTTTAACTTTAGTAACTAATTGATTTTCAATCATAGTCTTTAATTTTATGACAAAAGATCCAGCCAAGTGATTCTTGAATAAGTATCCTTAAATTGAATGTTGAGACCATAAAATGGTTTAGTTGAATTGTGATGAATTTTCAGGAGAGGAATACGTTCATGTTTTTACCAAATTAGTAAGAACTTCAAAAATCAAATATTTGATTGAATGTAAGGTAGATTTTTAGAAATTTCTCTTACGTGTAATATGCTGGAAAGAGTGAATTGATGTGTGCGTGCGTGTAAAGTTGCTTGACCGATATGTTTGATATTCAAACTCGAACCATTTCCAACTTGAATTTTCTCTTGGCCAGTATAAGATCTTTTAAACTGAGAGATAGCAATGTGGGTTTGATACTGTTTATGGAATGGTCAGTATTAGCATATATTGCCTCTTATAATGGTTCCTCTTAAAAAAAATATATATATATATATATATATATATATATATATATAAGGTTAATTATAAAAATGCATCGAAAAATAGTCGGAGGTATACAATAATGACCAAATGTTGGAGATTCTCTTTGTAATTAAAATATGATAAAACAAACAAAAATTGTAATATGAATACAATTACTCTTTTATAAAGCTCAAAAGTAGTGGTTTCTCTCTAAAATTATGTTGGAGAAAATTCATAACTAAGAGGTTAGGTATCATCATTCAATTCAAAATTAAGAACAAAGGTTTCAAATTTCAAAAATTAGATATTTATTAAAATTTATCTATGATTTAATTAATTAATTAATTAATTAATTATATTAAAATCATAAATCTATACAATTTGGTCATAAATTAACGATTTAGTTAATCACATATTATTTTTCGATCACAAATAAAAAATTATATACATCATAAATTATTTTACAGGCATAATTTAAATATTTTATAGTTCACAATTTATTCATCGATCACAAATAAAAAATTTATAAGTCACAAATTATTTATCGATCACAAATCACAAATATTATAAGTTACAACTTATTAAACAGTCATAAATTATCAAATTGTCGGTAATAAATTAACAATTTTTTAGGCTACAAATTATTTTTTTGTCACAATTTATCTTTTCTATTAATAACAGATTAACCAATATAATAATTACAGTCAACCAAATAATTTGTAACTACTACCTCACCACTACCTCCAATAACACCACTACCATCGTCGTTGCCAGAACTACCACCACCACCTCAAACAAATTGACACATCACAGAAAAATATGACTACACAATCGTACTTCATCCACTACTGCCCTGATAGACCCGTCGCCACCAAAATCTCACCATCACCACCGCAACCACTGTAAAAACCACTAGCCCTTTGATTGCCTCGCCACTACTAAAATATGGAAGCTGCCACCACCACCATTCCAACAACAACACCATCACACCAACCGGTACTAGCAACACCACCACCATCGTCGCTACATCCTATCCCCACTATCGCTTGCTCCAACCGTCCACCACCTTCACCTTCACTTGCAACTTCAACCCACTAACACATCACCACCACACCATAGCCACCATCCCACCAACAAAACACCAAACAGGCAACAATCACCAACAAAAATATACCAAAACTCCGATAAAGCATCAGATTGGAGGAAGAAACCACCAAAAAAAGGAGCTTCGATGGCATGGACCTTATCAGTAGATCGGAGGAAGAAACCACCTCATCACCACCATTTTTGTGAGTGTCATACGTCGCAGCACAGCACAATGCCACTTCGAGTGCGTGCATCGATTGTCACAAGTTGTGTGCATCAACTATTACGTATAGAGAATGGAGAGAGGAAGGAGGGAAGAAGAGAGCAGTGGGAGAAAGCAGAGGCGGTGGCGGGGGGTACTGGCCGCTTCTCACAATTGTGACACATGGTTGCGCCGTCAACAAAGAGAAAATGGAGAACGGGGGAGGAGGAAGAGGAAAAGAAAATTTTAGGATTTGAAAGTGGATGAGGTGAGGTTTTCTACGGGTGGGAAATACATGGAATTGATCCATTTTTCCAAAATGGCCTTTGACCATTCAAAGGCTAAAATCTACCTAAAATACCCCCAATATAAAATTCATAACCAAGCCATCTTAATTCTAAAAGAGTTCAATTAAGCTCTCAAATTATTATCTTTAATTTTTTGCCTCGTAAAAAAATTGGTATCATAGCCTAATAACGAAACTGAAGAATGTATTATTTAAAATGAATAGAAAAGATAAAATGATTTTAGAAGAATTACAAAATATTGGTATATTAACTAATACTAATCGTATTAAATTGCAAAAATTAGCAACAAATTTAAGTACCGAATATAAATCTCTAAGTGAAGAAATAAAACAAATTAATAATTCTCAACAATTAGTTGAAATAAAAAATAAAGTATTACAAATCCTGGTAGATAAATCTCTCAAATTTGAAGAGGAAGATATTATTATAAATCATTTTTTAAAACAATATGATAATTATGCTAAGCCTTTAGGAAAAACAGACATTATAAATCAATATGTCATAACTAGTATAAAAAATATGGAATCAAATTTAGAAATTGTTAATAACAATATTAAGATAAGACCAAAAATCCTATATAAACAGATTGAATCAAAATTTAAAGAATTAAAAAATAAAAAAGATTCTTATGTCTCTATTGAACCACTCTTATCGGCATATGTTATAGAAGAATTAGAAACAAAATTCTTTGAAGCTACTGGAGAAGAATTAGAAGCTTATAAACAAAGTTTAGAACAATTAGCTATGCAAACTGAAAATATATATATGAATGATCCTCCACCTAAAGAAGAAACTACTGAAATTTATACTCCACCTTTAAATCAACAAGTTGAAAATCGGCCGTTAGTTGGAGAAACTAGTAGAACTAATATTAATACAGATTGGCCTCAAGTTGAATCTGATGACTGGAATTTTGAATGGATAAAAGAACAAGAAGGCTACAACTTCAGAAAG